TTGTCTCAGTGTCTTATCGGTCCATTGTTTGTATTCTGTCAGTCTTGTCTTGTCTCGTCTCCAGTGTTTTTGATCTCAGCCTTCTCTAGCCTCCTGTGTTTTTGGTCTAGTTTTTGGACTGCCTTTTGGATTTATTTTATTTTTTGGCTCCTCCAATAAAGGATTTTTTCTTATATCATATCCTACCTCGTGTCATCTTGGGTTCCTGCATTTGAGTCCTAACCATCCAGCGTAACATGACAGAATGGACAGACCGTCCCAGGACCCAGCAGAACCTCTGGATACACCAACGGACCAGCCGATGAACTGTTACTATGGTGACCCGGTTACCTGTAGGGATTTCATTCGGGACAGTGCCCGTTGCTTGGATCTGGAATCTCCGGAGCTCAGCAAAGTCACCTTCATGGTGTGATGTTTGAGAGGCGAAGCCTTGCGGTGGGTCGCAGACAATTTCGATGTCGAGTCCCTCAAGACAATGTCGTTCTGGGAATTTGCCTCAGTGCTGCTCCACCCTTTGGCCGTGATCCTCCTCTATCTGCTCCTATTCTCCAGTCCCGCCCTACGTCGTCTCAGACAATCAGATCTGGTTTCATCTCCCTCCCTCCTGTACATGTTGATGCCGTCTCAGCACCTCAGAGGAGTCCACCCTCCACTTCACAGCAGCAAAGAGTCCGGGTTTCATCTCCTGATCAGCGTTGCTAAGGTGGGTCAGGTTGCTAACGGAGCTGAATCCTCACCTCAAGGTCTGCGCTCTTGGTCAGTAGATGTCCCAGAAATTTCCTCTTCTCCCCCCGTTTCTGCCGACGTCATCCCTGCACCTCCGAGGAGACGCACTCGTCACAAACGTCACCACCATCACCAGCAGTCTCCTGAAGCCAGAGCTGTGCCGCCTGTCCAAGAGGCCCCTGCTCTGCAACCCACTTCTGAGCTCCATCTGCCATCACCGCATCTTGCCTCAGCGGTGGTCCTGGAGGACGCATCGCTTTCTGCTTCGGCGGTGGTCCCGGAGGATGCATCACTTCCTGCTTCGGTGGTGGAGGACACAGAGGCTCCGGTCAGGCCCATCCACGAGGCTCCGGTCCAGCCCGTCCGAGAGGCTCCGGTCCAGCCCGTCCGAGAGGCTCCGGTCCAGCCCATCCGAGAAGCTTCGTCCGGGTCGACGCCTCCAGTCCAAGGTTCGACGCCTCCAGTCCAAGGTTCGACGCCTCCAGTCCAGAAGTCTACGCCCCCAGGCCAGAAGTCTACGCCCCCAGGCCAGAAGTCTACACCTTCCGTCTCGAAGTTGACGCCTCCCGTCTCGAAGTCTACACCTTCCATCTCGGAAGTCGACATCTCCAGCTCGGAAGTCGACATCTCCAGCTCGGAAGTCGACATCTCCAGCTCGGAAGTCGACATCTCCAGCTCGGAAGTCGACATCTCCAGCTCGGAAGTAGATGCCTCCAGCTCGGAAGTAGATGCCTCCAGCTCGGAAGTAGATGCCTCCAGCTCGGAAGTAGATGCCTCCAGCTCGGAAGTAGATGCCTCCAGCTCGGAAGTAGATGCCTCCAGCTCGGAAGTAGACGTCTCCAGCTCGGAAGTAGACGTCTCCAGCTCCATCTCTGAAGTAGACGTCCCCGTCTCAAGTTTCGACGTCCCCGTCTCCTCAAGTGTCCCCTGTGTTCCAGTTTCAAGTGTTCTAGTCCCCTTGTGTTCTAGTCTCAAGAGTCCCCTGTGTTCTAGTCTCAAGAGTCCCCTGTGTTCTAGTCTCAAGAGTCCCCTGTGTTCTAGTCTCAAGAGTCCCCTGTGTTCTAGTCTCAAGAGTCCCCTGTGTTCCAGTCTCAAGAGTTCCAAGTGTTCCAGTCCCATGTGTTCCAGTCTCAAGAGTCCCAAGTGTTCTGGTATCAGTCCCCATCTGAGTCCCAGCCCCTGTCTCCAGAGACCCTTCTTCATCCTCTGAGGTCCCTTCCTCGTTCTCGTCCTCCAAAATCCCCTATCCCCAGGGTTTCCTGTTCCCGCCTCCTGGTTCCCCGTCGCCGGCCCCCGAGACTTCCCTGGTCCCACCTCCTGGTCCCCCATCCCCGGCCCCCCAGAGTTTCCTGTTCTCACCTCCTGGTTCCCCGTCGCCGGGAGTAAGGTCTAGCTGCAGACGCAGCCCCAACAAAACACGCCCCCGACCAAACACGCCCCCATGTGCCTGTTGAGCTCCCCTGGTGGTCAGAAAAGGGAAATATCTCAATGACGGCAGCCCTCCCAGCGGGCCCTCCAAAACACGCCCCGCCAAAACAAGCCCCTTTGTACAAAAGACGCCCGCATGTACGAAGACGAGAACTCGCATGCGTGTTGCAACAGATGGAAATGACGGATCAGGTAAAGAGATTTCTATTTTAACTTGCGAAAATTTTGTACTTTAAATTTAAACATTTAAGACATAGTTTGATTGATAGCGCATTAGTGATTTTTTTCTGAAACATTTTTATATAAAATTAAGCATTATTGGCAGTGGGGGAAGACGTCATGGATGCCAAATATTTTTTATATAATTTTTAATGGGCTACATGCAAGCCTTTTGGCCAAAATAAACGTAACAATGGGCTATTTATTTGACCGTTTATGACTCCTCATCTAATAAGCAGCAAACTCACGACGGCAATATCACAATAACACAGAATATCAGAAGGGTCAATGCAGCAAGCGGGCAAACTCTGCAGACCAGGCCCAGATGGATATATCTGAGGACAGATTGATTAATGAAATTATCAATTTGAAGGTGAGATTAGCGGTGATGCCTGGGCTAACAGACCACAACAAAAACAACTGAAAACAACCCCTACTTTTAATCTAATTTATGTTAGCATCTTTGCATTAAAGTTTCTGTGTCTGTTCAAATATTTGCCCATGTTGTCACAGGTTGATGCAGTGCGAAACCTGGCCAAACATTGTGGCCTTGAGTCCACGGGTTCCAAAATGGATCTTGTCATCAGGTTGAAAGAGCAGATGAAAAGTCGCAGTGCTTTTGACAAGGTCTTTTCAAAAGTGTGGGGTGCATCTGGTAAGCTTATCCAAACACAAAAAAACTTTAAGTGTGTGTGTGTGTGTGCATATATATGTGTGTACACACACACACACACACACACACACACACACACACACACACACACACACACACACACACACACACACACACACACACACACACACACACACACACACACACACACACACACACACACACACACACACACACACACACACACACACACACACACACACACACACACACACACACACACACACACACACACACACACACACACACACACACACACACACACACACACACACACACACACACACACACACACACACACACACACACACACACACACACACACACACACACACACACACACACACACACACACACTCTAACATCCCTTTCTTTGATTCTTGTTCAGGTGGCTGGGCAGTTATAATGTGCCCCTGTGGAATCGTGAATTCTATCAAGTTCAACGTGAGGGCATAAAGTCCGAGGGACTGTTGTGATGTGTTGCTATCATTTAAGCACTTTTCTAATGAAGTCATATATGATTTTGCAAGAGGTTTGGCCACGCACACAAACCTGCGTGAACCTTTAAAAATCCCCTTTATGCCAAACGAAGGCAGACTTGCTGATGCCACGCCAGAAAACCTTCAGTCTGCCCAGAAAGGTGATCTGAAAGTAAACCTGCCATGGTTGAAGGTTCAAGAGGAGCATGCAGACAGCAATGCACACCCCTCTACAGGTGCAGCTGAACACCATGCTCTGTATGACACTTTCCACGAGGCCAACACCAGAGAAGTAATAGACTGCTTGAGGAAAATTTCACTGGTACCCGAGCTGCACGGTTGGGTGAATTCTCAAGTAGCAGAGCAGTTGTTCTCCAAAATGAGGAAGAATAACTACTTTCTAAATTTGATGTCTCCGGGGAGCCACATCTTTCTCATGCGCGCTATCATTCATCATCACAATACCATGTTGAACGAGAAGACCCTGGCCGACATTCATAAAGTATCATCAGCAGATATCACACTGGATTCATCTGGAAAGGCCGTAATGGGTGCGTAATTTAAAATAAACAGTTAAGAATGTGTAATGTATTGTATGCACAGCTATATTTATGGTTAAATTATAATTTCTAGAAAGTACACTTGTTCTGAGCGGAACTCCACTTCCAGCACATCCCAAAGGTAGTTGGCCGTCCTTTTATTGAAAGTCATCTACATAAATGGTTTGTTAGACAAGCATGTCTCATGAGCAGGACATGATGTTCTTTATTTAAACACAGTGGGATTGGATCCCGTGAACATTCACCAGTGTTCGAGGAAATGTGAGGCCATAACAGCCATTTCATCTCTAAAGCCCTGCAGAACCTCATGGACTATAAAGGGTCATCATCTGTCACGGCTGCCAGTCTGAAGAGGGGAAAAAGCAGCCAGGATCACCCAGCTCTGGTGATTGACTGGACACCGCCCCTCCTCCTCCTCTCTTCCAGGCTGCTGAGGAGCACAGCTGAACTGAATCCTCCTGATGAGCCACACCTAGGATAAAAAGGCTTTTAATAAAGTTTTAACCAGGTGTTTTATATAGTTGATAATTTGTCTTTTAACTGTTAACCTTATAGTGAATTTTTCGTTTTGCATTATTTTAACAATGCTCGCCATCTGTTTGCTCTTGTTTTTAGAACCTTTTACCACAATTAAACCCATTTTAAACGCCACTGTCGTATTTCTTATGTTACCCCCTCCTTCACATTTTAACATCTCCTGTCGGGGACGTAACATCATCCACTGCAGGAGCAGCTGGTAAACAGATATTTCTGCATACTGTCATTATTGGTAATTGTTAGATAAATAGTTGTTCGTTTTATTTTGATTTTTTTTTAATACTCGTTACCCTAGATCAATTACGTCCTGGATGTGACGAGACCTGGAAGTGAGCTCATCATCAAAGACGGACCAACTTGCCTTTCCAGAAGTGACCTCTTGACCCTTGGAATTCAGAGAGACATGGATGCAATGGTGCTTAACAAATGTACAATTTACTGATGAAGGATGTTTTCATGAAAATAATCATTACAAATTAATTGATGCTGCTTCTATAGGGAATGCACGTCTCAGGATAGTCCGGGGGATGGCAAATATGCAGGTTGGTTTAAAACAAGAATAAGTGGCTGGAGGAAAAGGAAATTACTAGACTTGGATGCATTACATAGATGTGTGTGTATATAAATATATATGTAGGTGATATACCCAGCACTTACAAAATCTGTATGCGTTCAATCTGCAGGGACGGGATGTTTTTGTCGCTGACCTGCATGTGACACGAACATGGCTACCTCCCACCAACGGCGATCCCCTGCTCCATTTCCCAGTAATTAAAAAACATAAATTGTGATTTTTGTGAAATGTTTTTGCTGGCGGCTCTAAACAACGTATCAAGGATACTTTAATGCCAGGATACTCGAATACTTCGCTAAATGAAATGTCCCTTAGCCTTGCAGGTCTAACAGATCACTACTCAATATGATGTAGTCCCCCTTCATGCAAAATGATTGAAATCTTTTTTTGTTTGTTTGCTTTTACAGAAAGATGCCATCATCATCCCACTGTCCGGGGCATTTTCTGCTGAGTGTAAGAACATTATACCAATTTTGTGAGTGGCATACAATATCAACAAAACATGTTAGGACACATGTTGTAGATGATGTCTGTGTTTTAACCTTAAAGTCATTTCTGAGTTTTCTGTGGTTTTTGGCTAATTGTGCGGATGTTCTATTTTCTGTAGGTAATGAGGCCACGCCAGAAAGAAATTTCATTTCTGGATTCCATTATTTCAGAAGAGCAGATGGCTGCTCCCATCAGGCCTACAGGAATCTGTTGAGGTTGTCAGTGTTGTGTGTCCTGGTGGTCACTTATCCTGACCTGCCAACGTTTCCAAAAATGTCCTTAAATAAGTTCAATCAGGAGGCAGTGTGATAATAAATGTACCACGCTCTGCACGTTTGTTATAGGGTCAGATGAGATTTGCTTCAAATAGCTGAAGTTGAAGAAAATAGACAAATATTAAATGCAATGAAAAGGGAAGGGAGACAGAAAGAGAACTTCCTTGTTGAACTTTAGGAAATTATGAATATTTACCAGTTTGCTTGGTCCTGTTCTTGGATATGTTCTCTGTTCTGTGGATTACAGATATTAGGCATGTTTCCATAGCAGAACTCCAGGGTAGTTCCTGGGATGGGGAACCTGACCAGGAGATAGGATGTCCCAGTCCTCTCAGCTGTTGTCTCCATTCAAATTCAGCCCTTTCAGAACTTCCACAGACGTCAGCATATCACAACTGTGTGAGTGATGTCACTGATCCGCCCAAAAAAGCACCCACTGTGACATTAATAATAATAAAAGCATTTATTTCATAGAAGTATATTCTACTTTAATCCATTCGGAGGACAAGAGCAGCTCTGAATTTTGTGAGACAAGCCCCTTTAACTAGGTCTGTGGTGGATTTTTACCGTTTTGTCCAACAGCTGTGGGGGGATTACAGAGTCTTCCAGTGTCGGGAGTTAGATTTTAATTGTGATTGGTGCCTTTTTTTATGCTTTCATTCTGCTTCACCAGCTACTCGTCTAATTATACTGCTGCCAGTTGTTTTGGACGTCTGCTGATGTCATTTCCTACTGAGTTACAACCAATCAGCTACTCCAGAGCAGGTACTCCGAAGGTTCCTGAAAACGGCCGTTTGACATGTCGGGAGGTTCCTTTAAATCCATCCTCAAGTTCTTGTAGTGGAAACACGCCTATTGATATTGTTCACGCGCCAGCAGATTTTTATATATATTTATCTCTAACAAAATCATAGCAGCGTTTACCTTTTTAAGTTTTACATTGTTGTTGTTGTTGTTGTTTGTTTGGGGGTTACTCAGAGATGTTGCACAGCAGACAGCTGTGGGAACCTGGACGGAGAAAACTGCTCTGGATTTGGAGGTATTGCCTGCAATATCAAAATTAACCTGAAATGTAATTATCGGCTATTTGTTGAATTTAACTGTCATACAGGGTGTTCCTAAGCAGACACATGGCAATGATTGTGGTGTCTTCATGATAATGGTGAGCGAGGGTAATGCTGTATACAATAACGTGACACACAATTTTTTTTTATTCTTTTGTTGGATATCTTATTTATAGGCCCTGTCCACACGTAGCCGGGGATCTGCCAAAACGTGGGTATTTTTCTACGTTTTGGCCTGTCATCCACACGAAAACGGAGTTTTTTCACACGAAAACGGATCTTTTTAAAAACTCCGGCCAAAGTGAAGATCTGCGTTTTCTCCGTTTTGGGTGTCTGCGTGTGGACAGACAAAACCAAAGTTTTAAGGTCCGCAACGTCACTTTCCACGACAAAAAAAATGCTGACATCACGTGTGCGACCTGTGTTTACACTAGCCGACAGCATGGACGCCCTCAGAGCTGCGCTCGCTTTATCAATTGTCCAAGCGCTTTCTGCTTGTTTGTTTTTGCAAGCGGAATTACTGCTCCTTACGGAAGACCACAGACAAAGGACGAGGTTAAGAATGGGGGAAGTACTGCCGCCTACAGGTCTGGCATGTCCTTAACAACGTATTTATCCGGGTACGTGTGGACAGAGGGTTTTTTAAACGAGATGGTGTGGATGCACGTTTTTGGAGGGGCGGATATTCGTTTAAAAAAAACCCGGCTACGTGTGGACTAGGCCATAATTGCACCTTTAAGCCAATAAATGTTTCAATATGAAGTTAATTGAATTCCAGGTACAGAAGCTGGAGCCACTGATTGGATAATATGTAGTATTTTGCATGGCTTCAATTGAAGAACTATGTTAGGCTCATGTAAAGCTACATTACACAACTGAATTACTTGAAATCAGCACAGTAACAAAACAAAACAACAACAAAAACAGCATTACATAAAGTTAATGAATGGATTGTGGACAGTGCTAAATCTATCTATGCAGTTTATAATGTCTTCTCTAATATACAGTTTATTGTAATGATCTGCACATATTTTAGTGTAAATGTGTGCCCACTCTGTCACTGAGCAGTCTCATATATATTGTATGATAATGTGTCATCACTACAGTATGCCTGGTACTTTGCCATGGATGCATGCTTTGACTTCAGTGAGGTAAGTTTACAAAAGAAATGTAAAAATTCTATCACTACTTCTAAAATATTGTTAATATACTATGACTAATGTGTCCTCATAGTGTACCTGTGGTCTTTATTAGGATGACATGTGTCTCCTGTGAAGATGGTGGTGCATTGTCCTATTAGAAAACCTTGGCCTGGAAGGGTACGCTGCAGGGCTTCCTGAACGATGACTTTTTTTATGGTCACACTTATCTCCATTCTGGCTCGTGAAAATGTGTGTTAATTACAGGTATGGAAGGAAGTTTGCCCATTTTACAGAAGGGGGACAGGCAACCCTTGGTACCAATGTACCACCGGTATTCAGGATAAAAAGAAAAAGAGAACATGAAAGCAGCACCATGGTCAGTGAAGACCTTACTCCTGCCTGTTTGAAAATAGGTCACCACTTTCAGGGATGGAATGATCCTGACACGGCAGCAGCCCCACAATTATCAGTTGTTGTATTTAGCTTTTCCAATGTGTTTTGGTTGATTTGTTGATGTTAAAAAGCAGAAAGTTTGATATGTTGTCAACTTTCAATGGTGGTGGTATAATACGTGAAAATGTCAATCCTCTTTGGACAACTGTAAAACAAATTGATACCATTATTTGCTTTCCTCTGAGTACACAGGACACCGACCGTGTGTATGTTAAGACACCGTACAGCTTTCCACCCAGATAGCAGGTGAATATGAGTGAAGATTATTGCATGACAACAAAATAAAATTAATTTTAACTGCAGTGCATGAAGTCATGTTTTTGTGTGTCTTGATGAAGGACGATGACGGCATGGACTAACACAACGTGGTCACCACAACCAGAGATGAAAAGTGTCATCCACCTGGGCTTCATCAAAGGGCAGGGTGGACATTTTCTTTGAGGAAGATGAGCAGCTGGACAGAGTGATGGGCTTCTTGACCAGCCTGGTTGAAGCACAGACAACCAGATGTCACAATAAAGTGATGGATGTGCTTCTGCCAGAGGTACGTTCTGAAAATGTTTATGTATCACATGAAAACATGTTGTAGCATTACTGTCAGTCTATAACTCATGGTTAATATCTTGTTACCTGCAACATGACAGACTAAAGTCTACATGAAAGATGTCCTTTTTTTCACTTCGTTACTCAGGCAACCATCCATGCACTTTCAGCTGTCCATAAATGTTCACCGGACATTTTGTTTTGGTCCCTCCTCTCCCGCCCTGTGGTGTCTCGTGTCTTGTGTTTGTCTTGTCTTTTGCTTGTGGTGTTTGCCTGTCTTGTGTTTGTCTTGTGGGCGTCTGGTATCCGCCCTTGGGGGGGGGGGGGGGGGGGGGGGGGGGGGGGGGGGGGGTTACCGTCATGGTCTGTGTCTGCATCTTCCCTCATGTGTCTCCTTGTGTCCTCCATTCGTTCTCTAGGTGCTTATTTTGTGTCCTAGCGCCCTCATGTGTCATGTCTGCGTCTTCCTCGTGTGTCTTCTGGTTTTCCCCATTTGCCCCTAGATCTCCAGCCCTCTAGGTTTCTCAAGTCATTTCCTTTAGTTACAGCCTTTCATGATTAGTATGTTTTTTCCCATCAGTGTTTATTATATTTCTCCCCCCCTCCCTTTGAATTGTAGTTATGTTTCCTGCTCTTTTGTATTAGGTTTTATTCTTAGGTCAAGTTAGTTTCTCCCCTGATTAGTCATTGCCTTCACCTGGTCCTCCTCCCACACCCCACACACCTGCAGCTTAAGCCCTGTCTCGTCTCAGTGTCTTATCGGTCCATTGTTTGTATTCTGTTGGTCTCGTCTTGTCTCGTCTCCAGTGTTTTTGATCTCAGCCTTCTCTAGCCTCCTGTGTTTTTGGTCTAGTTTTTGGACTGCCTTTGGATTTATTTTATTTTTTGGCTCCTCCAATAAAGGACTTTTTCTTATATCATATCCTGCCTCGTGTCATTTTGGGTTCCTGCATTTGGGTCCTAACCATCCAGCGTAACGTGAGAGAGGGAGGAGAGACGAGAGGAGAGGATATCACAGCGGGAATTCAATAACTCTTTCTTGGATGTGCTGCACAGTTTGATGTCTGCGGTAGAAAAATCATCTAAATAACCGGAATATGTTTTTTTTTTTCTTAAACAGAAGTGCAATAAAGTGTTTGACAGTGCAGCGTGTAATCCATCATTGTGTCCTTTTCACAGAATGTGAAGTGGAAGGGTCCAATTATCGTTTCAATATAAAACTTTGTGCTAAAGTAGCATACACCAGCCTTGGATATTTGCTTTACTCAACTTTGAGATTTCTATAGGAATAAATACCAGGGGGGTGTCAGTGTAGACAAGATTAGGTTATATGTCAGCAGGAGTGTAGAGAAGGATCAGAAGCTCAAATGTGCACTCCACACTTGGCTAATAAGAACTTTTGTCAGTCGGGCATCAATGTAAACAAATATTTACTTGCACTTGCCTTAATAACGACTTCAGACATATGGTCTATATGTCATAAGTCTT